CTCTCTCTCTCTCTCTCTCTCTCTCTGTCTCTCTCTCTCTCTCTCTGCACGGAGCGCGGCGGCCGCGGCGGCACAGCTCCCCCTCCCTGCGGCTCCGCTCGGCAGCTTTCGGGACTCGCCCCTCCCCGGCAGCGCGCCAGGGCGAGCTCGCGCCCGCGGACTCTTCCCTAGTCCCCGGGTGCCGAGAGCACGAGCGCCATCTCGGTCCCAGCGGCCACGGCCGGGCCCCAACTTTGCCGACTCTGGAACTTTCTGTCTGTCTGTCTGTTTTCTCCTTAGCACCGGCCGTGTCCGCGGCGCTAACTCGGATGCTCGCCTCTCCCTCTGGCTCGTGCACGCTCGGGCACCCTCGCACACACTCTCACACACACGTGCACGAACAGCTCCACGCCCTCCTCGTTCAGCCTGCTATTACCTCATCCTCGCCAGCATCCTTCTCTAACTGTCCATCAAGGATACAGAAGCCACGCCCCCTGGCCACTCGCATCAGCGCCCTAGAGCTTCCATGCCCTCTGCTGGTCCAAAACCTTAAGTGCAGATCAAAGACACTTGTGACCACTGAGAGCCGGTGTCATCTGTGTAGAGAGCAGAGAAGTTCTCTGTGGTCCATTTCTCTATTGTTAAGAGTTAAAAGACACAAACTAAACTGATTCATCTTGCAGGGTCCATGTGAGTAAAACTATGAGACAGCAGAACAAGTACAAGCTAGAGTCGCTCATTTTGGTCTTACTGGCTAAAGAGCGCAGTAATAGGAAGTGCAGCTCTGACGAAAGGAGACTGAAGCCCGGATTGAACATTACCGCCGGACGTGGTATGTTACACTTGTGGCTTCCTCATCTGAGAGGCTTGAGGCAAGACAATGGAGAAATTCAGGCCACATATCCAGACCAGGTCCCCGAAAGTATTAAGTTAAACATTTTAAAGAGAAATACATATTGACCTTTTCAGGGAAGACACTTTGAAGCTTCACAAAGAATCGATCCGTTCTAACAAAGTAAAGATGGAATTACGAGTAATTTTAGATTGGTAATGAATGATAAATCTTTTCTGGAAAAGCTTTTTCAGGGTCTCATATGCTCTTTTTATGTTTGAGGAGACAATCAGAAAACTCCTTAGCAGTGCCTAAACTAGGAATTCCCGGGTGTAGGAAGCTTAAATAGGCAAGAGGGGCGGGGGCATTAAGAAATATTTAACTGACTGTGTCAAAGACAAACAGGAAACAGAAAGAAATAAACCCTTACTTTGTGTCCATCCTGGTTTTTCATTCGGTCTTCTTGTGTCTGCCATGATAACACAGCAGGGTATCATAGCAGAACTGAAATGAGTGACTGGGTGCAGTTCACATTAGTAATTAGTTGTAATAGTTAACATTGATTGTTAGCTTGACAGGATCCAGATTCACCCAAGAGACAAGCTTACCACCATGCCTGTGAGGACCTAGGAGGATCAATTAACCAAGGTGGGAATGCCCATCTACCTGCGGGCAGCACCATCCATGGACTGCAGTTCCGGAGGAGAATGAGAGTGGAGTACCAGCATTCATTCCTCTTTTTCATTACTTGTCACACTGTGACCAGCTCCCTTAGTTACTTCCCTGATGTCATGAACTGTACCCTGGAACTGTGAGTCAAACAGTAGCATTTCCCCCCTTTTTCCCATATTTTATCACAGCAACAAGACAAGCAACTCACACATCAACTGTAGCTGCAAAAATACGTATTTAATAAGTCACACTAACTTATAATTCATGAAAGTGCTGATTTGCAAATAATTTCTAAGTTGATTGTAATTACGTATCTATCAACATCTTAAAACTGTTTTAAATATATCTCAACCTCAGCTAAAATTCAAACAATATACCATTTGAATGTCCAACCTGTATCAACAAAATAGTATCTTATGCCAATAAGTGACATAAAACTCCTTAACCAAATGGCATACTCAATAGGTAATTTGGACTTATGATTTTTATAATGAAACCTCCCTGAGATTTAATGGAGCAAAGCTAGGCTTGAATTTGGTGATGCTTTAAAAAAAAATGCCACCATTGCTCCCACAAGTTTTAATGAAGATGTATTTTTCTTCTTCCATGGAGTATTCATAGCAAAACGTCATTTTCCCCAGTCATCCATCACTGTGTAATAAACCACTCTGAAATTAGTGGCTAAAAAAACGGCAGTGAGCTTTGCACCAAATCTGAAATTTGAGGAAGGCTTCTGAGCACTCTTAGTCTGGCTCAACAGCATTAGCTCCAGGCACCTGAAAATAAGATCCCTGGGGCTGGACTCATCTAGGCTCATCTGATAGCCCAGGGAGGGCTTTCTGTCCAGGACCTAAGCAATGTTGATGGTACCCTCACTGCAAAGAAGCTGGCTGCCAGCTAAGTGAGAACCCCCAGGGGGAAAAAAAGGCCAAATGGGAACCGAATTACTCATTTGTTATTTAAATTTTGTTTTTAAAATTGTTGTAAATCTTCCCAGATCTTACTACTTCCCACTTCTTAAATAAGATTCCATGCACTCTGCCCAACAGTTGGCCATAAGTCTCAGCGTCTGCTTTGATAGTCTGCAGGGCAGAGCCTTTCAGAGGCCCTCTGTGACAGGTTCCCAGCTTGTTTCCTGTTTTCTTCCTCCTCTGATGTCCTTCCTCTTTGCCTTTCAGGATGGGGATTGAACATTTTAGTCAGGGTCCTCTCTCTTGATTAGTTTCTTTAGATGTACAGATTTCAGTTGGTTCATCCTATATTACATGTCTACATGAGTGAGTATATACCATGTGTGTCTTTCTGCTTCTGGGACAGCTCACTCAGGATGATCCTTTCCAGGTCCCACTATTTACCTGCAAATTTCATGATTTCCTTATTTTTCATTGCTGAGTAATATTCCATTGTGTAGATGTACCACAATTTCTGCATCCATTCTTCAGTTGAGGGGCATCTGGGTTGTTTCCAACTTCTGGCTATTACAAAGAAAGCAAAGAGAGCAACAGAACCAGAAATTTGAACACAGGGGTCTTCCCAGAGACTCATACTCCAACCAAGTACTATGCATGGAGATAACCTAGAACCCCTGCACAGATGTAGCCCATAGCAGTTTAGAGTCCAAGTAGGTTACATAGTAATGGGAAGAGGGACTGCCTCTGACATAATCTGATTGGCCTGCTCTTTGATCACCTCCCCCTGAGGGGGGAGTAGACTTACCAGGCCACAGAAGAAGACAGTGCAGCCACTTCTGATGAGAACTGATAGACTAAGATCAGAAGGAAGGAGAGGAGGACCTCCCCTATCAGTGGACTTGGGGAGGGGCATGCTTGAAGAAGGGGAGGGATAGTGGGACCGGGAGGGGAGGCGGGAGGGGCTTATGGGGGGATACAAAGTGAATAAAGTGTAATTAATAAAATAAAAATTAAAAAAGTGAACTTCGTGTAGGTGCAATTTGTCACCAAAGAAGTACTAGGAGCTTTTTGAAATTATAGACCTTATGATGTGTTACCAATAATAAAATAAAAGAAATCATTAAAAAAAATATTTGTAAATCTCCCTTGGTTGAAAGACAGAGACTCTGTGTATCTTCTTTTTTTTTTTTTTCCCCTATCCAGTTATAGTAGAGGATAGACATACTACAATTCACAGACCGCACAAAGACAAGCCCGATGGGCATCTTAGACTTCATGTGGGCCCACTAGTTAGGGGAGTGGGGGAAATCTCCTACACAGACTATGTGTAGTCCTTCTGATCACTTCCCCCTCATGGGACTTCCTTACCAAGACTGCAGAGAAGGAAGACTAACTCCGTCCTCCTGTGACTAAATAAACTGGGGTGGCTGGGTGGGTGGGGTCTCCCCTATTCCTCAGAACAGGGAGAGGGGATGCAAGACAAAGGGTGGGACTGGGAGGAGAGGAGAGGGAGCCTATGACTGAGATGTGAATTGAATTAATCAATAAAAAACTATAACATACATTGGTACTGATACCGACACAATCAAAATTCAAAAGTTACATCGTGATCCTTTGTCGATCTGTCCTTGTGTTATGCACTGTATATTATGAAGTGGACAATTTTCTCGATCGATTCCACTTACCAAAGCAGCAAGCACTCTTTAGTCACCGAGTCATCTCTCCAGCCTCTGATTTTGTGTTGTTTTGTTTTTAAAGAATGTTAT